GGATAAAGCAGAAGGTTTTTTTTTCTTTAGCTTTATGAAATTAAAAACCACCGCTGGTTTATAAATTGAAGAAGCCTCAAACAGATAGAGTATGATGCAAAAAAGGCAGACAATGTTGGACCTAAAGCAACAGCAGCCGTTTAGCCAATTGGTGGTCTACTTTGCATACGCTCTGGACCTGTGTAAGGACACTGACCGAATGAGTTCGGGATCCAGTTACAGTTTTTGATCGACACACATCACACCTGTCTTGGCCTGGCCTGACCTGGTCCTCAGTCCCCGCCGATCAGACATAACTGCTGCCAATTGAGCGAAAAAAGCCAAAGATCACAGCCGTTGGCCCGACAAGCTGAAGGACTGGAAAGAGACTGGATACTTGGGCCACGCGTGCGCAGGATCAAATAACAAGGCGCATGCGACTTGGCCGGCCCCCCAACTCGAGGCAGGTAACTCAAGCGCTGAGTTGGAGCTGGAGCTTCGCCATGGACCGCTGGCCAGGATGCAGCAGCACCAGACAGCATCAGGTCGCTTGCCAGGTCGCTTGCCTCCTGGGTGGTCCTTTCGCCGCTTTCGCTGGCAATAAGGCGCGACAATATCGAGTGCTACCTCGTTCGGTAATTATCGTAAATCTTGCCGACCAAGGACATTGGCAATTAGGCTAAGCGCCGCTGTCTCGTGTCGACTCCTGTTGTCACAGTTTTGGGCCGCATTCCAATCGCAATTAGCACAACATTAGCGCGCCTGACCTTTGACCTCGCTGCCACTCCCGCTGCGCCGCCTATTGTCCTGACCTCGGCACTGTCCTTGCGCCTTGTTTTTTTTTTTTCTGAATGTTTTCGGTTTTCTCTGCGCTTTGTCACGCATCCATTTGCCAAATGGACGACAATAATTGCGGTTGTTCCATTGTATTCCCCGGCGTCTGTGCCGGAACAGGCGCCTCTGTATATTTACATAATTGTCCATGTCTCGTCGTCACGGTAGCGCCCCTAGGGAGTGCAGCGCAAAGTGGGTGGAAGTTCAAGAATGGGGCCAAGGGACAATGAAATATGCATGACTACTAAAAAAAAGGAACGTGAAGATGAATGACAGGGAAACGGAAAAAGACTGGCAAGAAATTACGTAGCAAACCGGAATAGTAATATAAATATAAGCAGGAGAATGGTAAATATAACTGAAACATTAAACAAAACAGGAACTCGGAAGATAAGTTTGCTAAATAAATATGCTAAACTAAGCAGAGAGAAGCGAGAAGCAGTAGCAGAAGTACTTAAGCAAAGAAAGAAGCTGCGTTTAATTAGGTAGAAACTAATTTAAGAAACACTTGAAAAAAGTGACAAGAATATGTTCTTTATGCTGAACTTTGTGAAAGCATATTAAGAGAAGGCAAAGACAGAGCGAGAAGGATAAGTTATAAGAGCAGAAGTAAATTAAAGCAGCAAAAGAAACATTTTAAAACCTAGAAGGATTACGCTCTCTATGCAAAGTAGCAAAGAGTTAATCGAGCGATGTAAAAACAGAAAGAAAGTCCGCCTAAACTAAGAAGAAGTAGAAGGGACAAACTAAAGGAGGATATGAGAAATGCAGCTGAAGTTCTTTAAGCAGAATTATATAGAAAAAGTTGTTAAAAGTATGAAAAAGTAGCTAAATTCCATCTCGATGGAAGAAGCAGAAAAGTGCAAATTATCATGGCATCATTTTAAGCAATGTACAAATTGAGAAACATTCAAGAAACGGAATCTGTTATTTATTCTGTAAATTCTGGAACGGAATTCCTGGTTTACATAACCTTTGCGTATTTCAACAAACACAACTCATTACACGACAGAGATGAGACGGGCAAACAATGGGCAATGAGCAATGAGCAACGACGTCTGCCGCCTGCGCATCAATCAGCGGCCGGCAAGTGCCTGCATCCGGGCACTGGAGGCGCATGTGTCATCGCTGCCGCCCGCTGGGAGGCCACTGGGAGGCCGCTGGGAGGCCGCCGCGTTGAATTTGCGTTGATCGTGACAATAAAGCCGAGCAGCAATTGGCCCAACGGGGCCAACTTTACTTGATTGCCATCATCAAACTATTTACGCGGATGACAGACAACCTCAACAACAACAACATCTCGGAGGAATTGGTAGGGTAGCAGAGGAGGGAGGCTTACATTGATAATGACAATAGCTGCGTGGACAATGCCCGGTGCCGGGCAGTGATAATCACTGAGCTGCTCAGATTTGATTGTTGCTTTGTGGGTCAGCAGTGGATTTTGTGCCGAGAGTGGCGCCAAATAAAGCGTGAGATGACATGATGGTGAATCATGAGAAAACAGAGCAAGAGCCAGGAAATGATCAGCGAGTGAAAGTGAGAGACATAGAGAGAGAGAGAGAAAGAGACACGAAGTGAAAATGAGTTAAGTACCACAAATGGGATCAGCCTCTGTCGTGTCGGCGCACATCAATAACCTCGCTGTTAACCAACAGGTCAGGTCAGTTAGATAACACCTAATTAGGGTCCACGAACTGACAACTTTAGCGCCACAAGCGCGGGTGGTCGGAGAGTCGAGACAGGAGAATCGGGAATCGAGAATCGAACTGAGACACGCCCCGGTGCCGCACGAATTGCCAGCTGCCTAGGCCACGTCCTGATCCTGGTCTGGTCTGGGCAGCGGTAACAAGACGGAGTTTGTTTTTGGTTTGGGTGTCGCCCGGGCATTCGTTGCGTTCCATTTGAGGACCGAGCAAGCTGCGATAATTACATGTTAATTCGTTCGCTGCGATACGATTCGAATATCGTTTGCGCTTCTTCTTAAGCCGAAGACAGCGCAATCAAGTCCAATTTTGTGCGGCGTCTCTGAGGTGGCGACTTTGCCGCCGCCGGCGGCGGCTCGTCCTTTTGTTGTGTTGCATGTTGTTTGATTCGTTCGATAATTAAGCAGTTGCCAACAATGTGTGCGGCATTTAATTGACCGGCAGCTTAAGGACAACCAACTATGGCCAGCCGAGTCTGTGGTCAAATATAAAAGCAAGGTAAATCACACTCAATCTCAAGTTGGCAGGCCTATTAATAACTTTAATTAAAATTATGAGTGTCTGTGTGTTAGCCATCGTCATCGTCATCGCATATCGCATCATTGGCCCCATTTGGCTGGAGATGTTTGGAACTGGAGCCCGAGTGTGGGAACCAAATTATTCAAATCTTCAGTTCAGTTTTGCCAGAGCCATAATTCTCAGCGCTCTCTCATATGCATATTTATTGCATTTTTCGACGCGGCAACGCCCCCAAAATTCACAATGGAATTTCAATTCCATTCTCCGAGTTTTCGACTCGCGACTTTAAAGAAGCAGCTACAGCCCAGTTTCAGGTTCAGTTTGAGGTCCCGGTCCAGGCTCCAACACAGCCTCCAAATGCAATCGTATCGCATCTTTTGTTTAGCCACGCTTTGTTTTCGACACGTCCCTCTCTCTCTCCGTCCCTGTCTTGCTTGGCCCACAGTTTGTCTTTGGCTTGGAATTCGTTGGAATAATTAAAATTTATATGTGTTTCGTTTGGGCTTAGCCGCCGCTTCACCCCCACACTTCTAATATGATTCTGCCAGCTGCAGTTACACAAGCTCACCTCATCCATCCACCTGTCTGTCCGACCGGCTGCCTGTCTGTCCCTGATCCTACAGTCGAAAACCTTGACTGTTCCCTTCTGGGTTCTGCGGCAATTCCATTTCACTTTCGCACATAAGCGGCGCATAATTTATAAAGCTGGCGCTGGCAATTTGCATGGCAACTGTTGCTACGTGCCAATGCGAATATCGCAGGCCACAATCCTTACCACAGCTCCGACACACACAATCTCTCTCTCCCCCTTTCGCCCTCTCGCCATGTTGCAGAGGTAACATTTAATCGCTTGTCAATTGGAAAATTGCAGGCTTGCGTCTGCCCTTTCTCTTCCGTTCTGGGCGTGGCAGCCGGCTCTGTTACAATGAGCAGAACAACAAGCATTTCATATATATAAGTCGCTTACAGAGTCCGTCATCGTGCCATCGGCACGTCCATGACCAGCTCCGGCCTGTGGCCTGGCAACCATTGTGCCGCATCCTCGGCGAGTTTGTGTGCCGCATTTGAAATGAGCAGCGACAAAAGTTGCCAAATGAATATTCCAAATTGCAGTGATATATCATCAATGGATTGCCAGACAGAGAAATAGAGAAAGAGAGACACAGGGCAAGAGACGTAGACAGGGACAGGGATAGAGCGCGTGTTTCCTCTGTTTCTGGCAACGGTGCGAACTACGCAAAGTTTTTGGCCAAATTGTCATGTTGCTGACGGCTTAACCAAAATGATTGATTACTTGGTTCCTGTTTGCCTGAATGCCAGGCGGGAGAAACTTGGTGTTGTTCGCGCTAAGTGCCAAATCGGAAATGCGCCAAAACGGAAGGAGCAGGAGGAAAAGCGAATTCTATGGTTTCAAGAACTTTAACACTTTTCCAAAGGAGACAATAAATTGCACATTTATCGATTCTTTTACAATTGCAAACCGAGGAATTAAATTACATTTATGATTGATTGCAGATCTCTCTGTCTGATTTATATATTAAATGTTTACATGTAAGATGCAAGTGGTTGGTTTCAGGTATCGAAGAATAAGAAAAGGGATATACTAGGGATAGTCATAAAAAGATAGATACTTGATCTGCATACACTATTCTAGAATAATTTGATAACTGGCTCTTAAAACCTAAGAGACTTGCTTAAAACCACGTGGAAACGTGGAAAGTAATCGACTATCTGAAACAATATTTCAAGTCTCTAGCTCTTAGAGGTTCTCAGATCGACGCGTTCATGCAGACAGACAGACGGACTGATGGGCAGACGGACAGACACTAAGAATATAAATACATTATGGGTTGGGTAATGCTTCCTGGTGCCTGTTACATACTTCTAAACATCTCGTCGTGCTCATTCCTGTTGCCATTGATGTAAAGCGTGCCAAGTAATTCACTTCTGTTTTTAAATCAAAAGCAAATAACATTCAAATATAGCAATATACATTAATTTGAAAAGCCAAACGATAGAGTTTACGGCAATGCCAATTGACAAAATTCTTAGCAGTCGCCATCAGCCACAGCGCTACAATGCGCCGCGAAAGCGCGTGGAGAACGGCGAGGAGCGCAATTCCAACTTTGCGAGCCCGAATGATGACTCTGACTATTCCATGGACTCGGATTTGGCGATTCTGCCGCCGCCGCGTCGTTCAGCTGCGAGCCGGCTGAATTCTCGTCAATTGTCCAAGAATCGAAATTTGATAATGAAATGGATCGTTTGCCTATCGATCATATTTATGCTGCTGCTCTTTGTGCCGCGCCATCACGTGGTCAGGGAAGTGAAACTCAAGCGCGCCGTTTCCATACTCCTGTGGAACGAGGAGAGCTCCAACGAGCGCTGGTGGCGGTATCAACAATGCCACTGCACGGTGACCACCAATCGCAATTACACGGATAGGCCCATAGATGCTGTCGTTGTCAATGCAGATCGAGCCTACGACGTGGACGGCCTGGAGAAGATCGTGCGCAGCCCGAATTTCTTGGTGGTATTTGCGGCTAAGAAGCCGCTAAGTCTGGCCAAAAATCCGCTGAGTTTACACGGTGAATCCATATTCAACTACTCGATGACCTATCGCCCGGACTCGAATCTGTTCTGGACAGACTACTATTTCTCCACGTTGCAGCATATAGATGTGCGGGTGCACAAGTTCACGGCGCCCGACAAGAATTCCGCGAAAGAAATGTCTGCACATCTACGCTTCAAATTGCAGCTCAAACAGCTTCTGGTGGTCTACATGATGTATCCGGTGAACAATTCCACGATGCAGCAGAGCCTCTATCTGCAGCAGCTGCGACAGCACATCGATCTGAGCGTTATCGAGACCTGCCACGAAGCCAATGAGTAGCTAACCCATATTTAACTTCATCTCTCATATAATCAGTACACTCTTTGGCTAGATGCCTACCCTACAGATTCATGCTGATCTTTGAGCCGAGTCGCTGTCCGGAATATGTGCATCCGCAGTTCTACATGGCGCTGGCCAACTTTGTGGTGCCCGTGCTGATTGGTGGCGGCAATCTCAGCGAACTGGTGCCTCCCGGTTCTTATATAAGCGCCGACAACTTCTCGTCACCTTTTGAACTGACCGAACACTTGATGTTGCTGTCCTCACGGCCGGAATTGTACGAGCAGTTCTTTTGGTGGCACTCCATATATCAACTCTATCAAATAAAGCTTCCCTATTGCGCTCTTTGTCACCAGCTGCGACAGGAGCAGCGACAGCGCCCACCTTACGAGTTCCTTCAATGGTGGACAATTTACCAGTGCCCGGACCCCAGAGACTTTCAGATCGGGGCGACCAACTAAAGCGGGTCTTGCCAAGAAAAGGATGCTCGTCGAGTATTTTAGTCGATTTTACGGCTCCAAATGTATCTATGTAGAATAGAGCTAACTGTTTAACCTAAGTATATGCCAATTGTATCGATGATTTTACTTTGCAAGACTTGATTTAAATCAAAAATATAGTCTTTAGTTTTGCGAGTGCAAGAATACTTTTCTTCATAATCAAGCTTCCTCCGGTTAGGTTTCCATATTAATCCTGCTTTATCCCAAGTTTTGACATTAATCCACCCATTTTACGCCCGAGGGAATTCGAAATTCACCCACACTAACTGAAATTTTCACGTAGCGAAGTGGATTTGCCGCAACCGATGAAATTTTCGTAGGTTTGGAGTTTTCAAATTAGCTGAACTTTGTATTTTTGGAGCTTTGGAAGTAAATTTAAAGCCGAACGAGAGGTGAAGGAAAGAAAACTGCAACTGCGTTCCACCAATTTTTCACACTTGTGTGTGAAAAATTTGAAAGCGTGAAAATTTCATATTCCTAGCTCTGAGCTGTCCCCTTTGACCAAAAATTAGACAGTCAATCAATCAATCAATCAGTAGCTTAGTAGGTCAGTCCTTCAGTCTATCAGTCAAGACAGTTTACATCTGGTATAAATTTCAGTTCGATTATCCCAATCCGAGTTGGCATTGCTGTGCACTTATAGATATATTTGAAATATGATCTATATTTAAGAAGTGTACCGAAAAAATTCGTAAAAATGCCAGCTGACAAAATTATTAGCAATCCACTCGAATCGGAAAATCAGGCCCAGTCGCTTAATGTGCCAACAATGCAGTTGACTGCATCCGCCAATAAGGAACCAAAAGGTTCGGACGGGCCGAGCCGCTCAGCGACTTTGCCCCGGAACAAACGGCTGACGAAAATCAATTTGTATTTGAATATTTTGAAGAGCGTCGTCTGTCTGTCAGTTGTTTTGTTGCTGATGTATTGCGTGGGTAACGATAGCCCTCGAATGGGCGAACAGGTAGGTCGCCCGGTCGGGAGAGCCATACTCCTTTGGAACGCCGAGATGGAGCTGGGCACGTGGAACTATCTGCCATGTGGCTGTGTGTTGACCACAAATCGTGATTATTCGGCCGGAACCATTGATGCCATCGTCTTCAATGCAGATCGACCATTTACGTTCGAGGGCCTAGATCGGATTAAGCATACGCCCAATTTCCTGGCAGTATTTGCAGCCAAAAATCCGATGAATCTGGTCCACAATCCGCTGCTAGAACATGGAGAATCTGTCTTTAATTTGACAATGACTTATCGTCGCGATTCGGACGTTGTCTGGTGGGATTACTTTTTAACGGCGCCGAGAGAGCAACCAGGCTCCACAGTTCTGGAGATCAGCTTCAGGAAACAGCGGTCAGAGCTTGAAGCCACCGATCTGCACCTGAAGCTCCGATCGAAATCCCCGCTGGTCTTCTACATGATGTACGAAGTGAACGACTACACTTTGCCGGAAAGCCTCTATCTGCAGGAGTTGCGCAAACACATCGAGCTGGATGCCTTCATAGAGTGTCATGGCGCTCAAGAGTAGGTGTGATATACTTATCGATTTCAATTAGATTTAATCAGCTTCTGTTTCCCATTCTGTCAGTTGCGGAATCTACAAGTTCATGCTGATCTTTGATCCCAGCGCCTGTCCAGATTATGTGCATCCGCAGCTCTACATAGCGCTGTCACACTTTGTGGTGCCCGTCATGATCGGCGGCGGCAATCTCAGTAGCCTCCTTCCGGCAGGCTCCTACATAAGCAGCGCCGACTTCAGCTCACCCAAGAAACTGGCCGCGTATTTGGAGCAGTTGTCGAACGAGCCCCGGCAATACGAGCAATTCTTCAAGTGGCATGCCAACTATTGGCTTCATAAGAACCGACAGCCCTACTGTGCCCTCTGTCACCGGCTGCGTCAGCCGCGACATCCGCGTCAGCCCAAAGACTTCCTTAACTGGTGGACTGGATATCAGTGTACGAATCGTACGGACAGCTTAGGACGGTTCCTTTAGAACGATGTTCGGCCCGATTCCAATACAATTATAATTATCGCACGCCAAATTGGAAGCGCTGAATATTTTTATTCCATGGAATTTTGCCGGCACTCCATTGACCACGCCGAGTGGTTTTGCAGCTAATAATGATACCCTTTCGACGCCTTGTATATTAACTTTGTCACAGAGCATGTCACCTATATTTTAAATTTTCATGAATAGTTAAATTCATATTTGGCTTTCAAACCTTGGCAGCATTTGTTCATATTTTTATGTTTAATGCATACAAATCAAGCCTGCAAGCCGGGCTTAAATCGAACCGGCCCAAACACGGCTCCCTATTTGATTTTCTCTATTAACCTAGCCTTTAAATATTTTCAGCACAACAGGCCATTGTAGATTACAAACAAGGAACTGTTAAACTTACAGCTGTTAGAGTTAAAGGTTATAAACTTAAAGAATGGAAGATGTTTGTGACGTTTGACAGCACTGATAGCAGTTATGTTAAGTTGTTTCTGTTGAAGTGCCACTGTTAATGCTTACAGCCATGTTAAGCTAAAAGTTTTAGAGCTATAAAATAGCCAACAAAATTAAACTAAGGAGAGAGTATTCCGAAAATGAGCAAAGGTTTTTGTACATTTAATTGAAACTGGTTCTTGGAATATTTGGGATACCAACTCGTGCTAAACGGCTGCCAAATTCACTGGCATGTGGCCATTTGGGTGACCATTTAGCGAGGCAGCTCTTTGGATGCCCATTGGGGCAGCCTCAAGGGTTTCAACAAGTTTCTGGCTGGGCATCCACATGCACAGGAACGTCACAAGCACAGATAAAGCAAATAGAGAGTGCTCAGGTATTGTGGATCTGGTCGAACGGTGGAAAACCCTGTGAACCAAGCGCTCTGGACAACGTGTGGGCGACACGATGTGAAAGAAGTGGCGACGGTAAGGTGCCAAGACCAAGGCAGGCGGCGCAGACAATACACGAAAAACAAACAGAATTGTCATGGGAAATATTTCACGGCGTTGCGTCTGAGACCCGCTGCTCCTCGGCTGTCCATGGTCTGGCCGGGTCTGGCTTGGGCTGACTGTATCTGTGGCTGGCACATTTCAAAACGGTATCACATACACAAAACACTTTTCTTCTTGCCACACACAATATTTATAAGTTAAATGCTTCACTAAACAATAAGCCAAGACTGGCGACCAGGCCAGGTTGGGCAGGCGAAGGTGGACGGAGGCGATGTTCGAGTCCAAGCCAAGCCAAAGTTGAAGGCAAGGCGATAATGAAACCGACGGGCGTCAAGCACATCGAACCAGGGTCCCACCAGCTTGCCTTTTGGGGGCCCAGCCAGTTGGGTTGACAGGTTGTTTTCTTGTATTCACTCATTCTCATTCTCATTCTCATACTCATTCGCGTTCTGGTTCTGGTACTGGTTCTGGGAAGTTCTCATCACCAGCGGCATCTGCTGTTCACTGCCTCCGCACTCCACACTCGACTCTCCATTGGGCTCTGTTTGCCCATTCTGTTATCAACTATTACAATATTTTTGTTTAATTGACAAACAGGTTTATCATTTGACGCTCCAACTGTTTTTCCCACAGTCATTTTCGGTCAGGTTAACTATTAACCTGACACCAAGAGTGTAAAAGCACAAAAAGTGAACTACTCTCCAACGGGCTTATGTTATACAAAATACGATTTGAAGATATGCACTTTGGCAAATTTGCAATATGCCCTTTGTGAAATAAAGTACCACTTGGATGTAGTAAATATTAACTCTATATCATATCTATCTCAAACCCTATTCTGTAAATTCCCAACTTCCACTTAGCTAAAGCGATAAGTCCCTCGATTATGCATAGCCTTTTAATTCATTCAGCATAATGCTCCATCAAAAGATTTTAGATTAAATATATCCAGATCTGTAAGTATCCCATATTCCTGTCAGCTAGTTTCCATCAAATTCGAAGCTAACAAAAACCTCCTTTCTTTTGATTGCTTTACCTTAACCCCAAGCCACAGTGCACAGTTTATTGAAGTAGCTCAGGATTGATTGTCATGTTCCAGATCTCGGTTTTCGTCACAGTCTCGTTTCGAATCGACCCGATGTGTAATTAAAGCTCACTTTACTGCCCGATCACGACAAGTTGTCTCCGAAAATCCGCCCATTTAATGTCTCAATTCAATAAGATAACTTCAGGCATTTCAGAAACTCAACAACTGAAGATTAAAGAGCTTCTGTTGTGGCTGTGGCTTTGGCTGCTGCTGCTGCTGCTTCTGCTTTTGTCTTGGGCTGTTTGTGTTTGCTTTGCTGGCTTCCCAGATACTTGCAGACGATTTCTCACCTGGTGGCCACGCCGCGGAACCTGACCAAAGAGGCGGCAGCGGCGGCGGCGGCGGCTGCCGTTCGACTCGTTTTAATTTGTTTGTTTACATTTTCCAAGCAAGCGCTGCTCGGCTTTTCCCAGCATGTCTCGGGGCTCATTTGTAGCTGGTGGGCAAAATGTTTGGAAATAGAAGCGTAACGCCCGAGGCAGGCCTCGAGGCTGCGACTGGGGCTGGGGCTGGGGCAGTCCTGATGGGCTCAGCTCGTAGCGCTTGTGTTTTTGGTGTTAACAACTCGACACTTCATTAATTGAAGTTGAAAAAGTGCAGCTATAAAAAGACTATTAAGTTCCATGCGCTGCACTTGGAAACCGCCTCAAAGGGATCGCATTGGGCGCAAATTTGATTGCTTTTTAAAAGTTCAATGGTTCGATGTGGTCCACAATTAGGTTCGAGAGCTTTTCCATCGATGGCCACTGTTTACTCTCGATTCTTATTTCTCAAGTGCTCGATGGCCAAGTGGCTTCATGAGAACGCAACACGAATTCAAGATTTGGCAAGTGAAATAAGAAATTATTTCTCAATTTTGTACATCATAATTGTGGGCATATATTAGGTGTTGCAATTAACAGAAGCTAAGAAATAATATTTAATAAAAAACAAGAGTGTTTCTTATTTGAAAGTGAGGGTTTTTGAGGCTAGCTACACTTGGCTGTAACATCTTAATAAAACACTTTGACTATTGGCTTTTTTCGAATTTTTGAAAATCGCATAGAAGGGCTATAGAGATAGAGAAAGTCCAAATAAATATAAAAGAGTTTTAGACGAAAGAGCTGGACTTGAAGGCGCCATGTTCTCAGCTTCGAAGTATTGAGCTTACTTCAAATTTATGAAAATCGCATAGAAAGGTCCCAGAGATAGATGGACAAAAGAGGTCTTGCCTAGCTAGCCTAGCTGGCAAGCATTTGCATAATTATTGGTATATAATACCAAGCTATCAAGCAGAACTGGGTTAACATATCGAAAAACTGACTTGGAATATCACATTACTTTTCTAGTATAGCTTAACCCTTTGGCCAGTTGTTCAAAATGCACCGCAGCTCACACATAAATACCAAAAGACTTAAACGTCTCCAAACCATTGTGAGGGCCATAAAAATAAATCTATATGCAAATGCAGCTCTAAGTGAACAAGGCAAACAAGAGAAGTCAAGTATTCGAGAATAAGTCAGCATTTAGCGAAGAGATACGGGCCAGCCAAACGACGTGTGGAAGCTGCAGTTGCAGCCAAAAATAGTCTAGCTGCCAGAGTCAAGGACTTCTGGCAATAGCCTGGCCATTACAAGCCGGCCCCGACAACTGGGCGCAGAGGCGTCTCGCGCGCTTTAACAAAATGTGACAAGTTGCGGAATTATTTTTCGCAGAAGATGTTCCCAATGGCTGCGTGCAGATGAGCCGAGATTGATAAGCAGGCGACGACGATGGCACCAAAGCGAACGAAACCCGTGCCATACTCGGCCTGTTCCCATTCCCGTGAATGCGATGCAAGTGCGCAGATAATGTGCGAGCGATTTATGTGGAACCTCCAGAACGGCGACGGGGGCGCAAATGTCGACAACAGTAGCCGAGGCAGCAATCTAGCAGCGATTACAACTGGCAATGGCATTTAAGTGGCCATTGTCAGGGCGCGATCTGCGGCCGTCCGATAAACATGGAGGAGCTGCAAGCTCCTCATGTTCGCATGTGGGCGATCGCTGAAGTGTCGCCAACTAAACTGATTCATTTCGAGATGGCGCTAAAAATACCCTAAGGGCATGTTACCAGGCAAAAGAAGGAACAAGTCTAGAGAACAAATCCAACAAACACTTCGTACAGGGTATCAAAAGCAATTATTGTTGATTAGAGGGCACGAAAAATTAACGAAATGGTCATCATATACAGCCAAAGTCATAATAAGTTATTCAATCCCGTTTGCATGGTTCGCATGGCGGACGTGGCGGAAACACGGTGCCCGGCACATACGTATGGGGATTCTTTTTGGCGGCCAGCTCCTCGGCCCAGAGCTTGTTGAGATACTTTTCGAGCTTTTCGATAACATCGTCGCTGCCAACATCGGAGCAGGTGTTAAATGAGGAGGAAGAGCTGCTGTTGGAGTCATCCGCATGGCACACATTTGAGGTTTCGCTGGAAACATCGTGCGCACAATCAATGGGACAATGATGATTGTGCCAATCGTGCTCCGGTTCCAGGGCGTCGTCATAGCTCGTGCTCTCCGTATTGCTAGCCGGCTTCTTGGTGGCTTCCAGCTCCTGCTCCAGGCGATACCACTTCACCTTGTACGAGTCCTGGCCGCACTCGCCGTACTGCTCGCCGGTCAGCTGGTCAATGTTGCACTCGCAGATGAGCATGGGCGAGTTGCACTTGGAGCAACGCGGCAGTTTGAGCTCGTGATTGAGAATGGGGCGTGGTCGTTTCAGCTTTATGCTCGAATCAATCTTGGGCACCTGCAGGCCGCACAGTATGCAGGATGCGGGCAGATCTGCACAGTCGGCCAGCTTGAACTTCTCGCGCGGCTTCTCGCCCGGCTTTGGATGACCCGGCACTTCCAGCTTCCTGCACTTGGGGCAGGTACAGTTCGGCACTGTCAAGGGATTGGCACGGGCACTCATGCGATCGTACAGGGATCGGTAGACAACGTTGATCTGCTTCTCGTAGGACTTGTGCGCCCAAAAGAAGGCCGCCTTGTAGTTGTCAAAGATTCGCGCCGTCTTGTACGCGGCATGCACCCAGGCTGCCTTCTGGTTGAGTATGACCATGGCGTCCAGGATGGGATTGCTGATCGATCTGTCTGGCTTGCCGTGAAAGAAGGCCTTGAAGGCACGCTTGATGATCGAATACGTGAGCATCGCCTCCACGCTCTCCATTTCGCACTTGATGCGCAGCGCCTGCAGCATGTCATCCCGATGCAGATGCGTGCCCGGTGGCGGGCTCCTCGGGCAGCGGGTTCGCAGCTTCTCGTGATAGATGAAGGCGCGCTTTATAATCGATTTGGCATTGCAGGCCTTGGTCGTATTAATGCCACAGATGAGCATTATCTGCGAGAGGCTCTTCGCAATGTCCTCCACATTGTCGTCGAATATCTGATACGGATCCAGTTTCCTTTTGCAGTTGCAGCAGCACATCTGCTCCGCATCCTGATTTGTGGTCGCCAACGTCTTCTGATTTGCCATATTTGCCGTTCTTTAGCGGATTTTTAACGAACAATTTTGAGATTAACTTGTAATGATACTCTAAAACAACCGCTCCATCAAAGTTATTCAATCGGGTATGCCAAAATAGTGGGTAAATCGATTCGAAAACAATTTCATTTGAACAATTTAACTAAAGTTGTAAACAGAAACAGAACCCCTGAATTTGTATGATTCAACATTTTCGTAAGCCATATTTTTCAATTCAATTCAATTCAAGCCAAATTTTGGGTTGAGATCCCGCATCTTGTCCATAAAAATATGTTATAAATATATATTAAATAATAATATGTATATAAAAGGGAACTACTTCCCAAAACTGATGGAATGTATTTAAAACTTGGAACTATTAGGCCAATAAGCCAAACGCTATTCTTAATGGAAGAAAAATCGCCGTCAAGCACATTAATTTGTTCCACTGTGCCTTGTATGGGTTTTTTGTCCATGGACCCATAGACCACCACGAGCCGCTGGCAATACAATCGCCCGTGGCTGGGCCCAGCAATTATGCTAAATAGATGCTTTGATAGCTTCATTGGGCAGGGCCATTCAGGTATAAATAAGAACAAGACAAGCCAAATGGGTCTGTTTAGATTCTGGGTACTGCTGTTGTGTCAGACTAAATTGTTCAAATAAATTAAGTTGTAGCTTTCGAAAAACAACAACAACAACAACAACAATCAAGAACAAAAAGTAGAGACACAGACATCGGATAGTGGCATTGCCTGGGTTTGGTGTGGGGATTGGGGCAAGCAAACAAGTTCGACCGGGACACAAAGATCGGGGCCGTCGCCTCACAGAGGCCGCCGTCGCATTGTCATTTGATAAATTATGATATTTGATCAATTGTTCAACAGTCGGGCCACTCAGTTAGAGTTGGAGCTGCAGTTGGAGCTGGAGCTGGAGCTGAAGCTGGAGATGTCGGCTCTGTCTGCCTAATGAAATGGCTTTCTACGTGTGCTGGCTGCTCCCCACCCTTCCCCCCTCTCCCCTGCTCCTCCTCTCTGCATTGGTCTGGGGGGACCCGCATCAAGTTGCCGATTGAACTTTTCTTGTATTTACATTGTAATGGCATCTGGCGAGCAAACACACACACACACACACACAACACGCACACCCAGTCGAACCCATTCCCATTCATCTGCATAGCAGCATAATAGAATTGGGACTCGAGACGATGCAGACTCGTCGAAGATGCCTCTTTATTGTGGCTAATAGGCCCTTGTGGCTTTGTTGTTCTGCCGCCGTTTGCACTCCAAGGCGCGCTCCACGTAACCGCCGCTCAGGTGGTGTCATAGTCGCCGCCGCCGCCTTGCCATTGAATGTGGATGTGGATGTGGTTGTGGATTAATGAATGGCTGACACGCTGGACAGGCTCGGTAACGTGTTGCTGGCTGTTTACCATTCATATATCCATTCATTGTCGCCGCAGTCAACAGGCCTCTAATTATGTGTAAAGGTGTGTGAGATCCCCCTACTCCTCGATCTCTCCATCAAACTGAGGGGTAATTAGTTTTGTGTGCAGGATTTGGCTCTGCTGTCGGCATATATAAAGTTAATCAATTGTTGAAAGATTCTGTGCATTGCCAAGTCGAGAGGCAGCTTCCGAAGACAAACTTTGCTTTAAAATGGTTTCTATATTAGTTAAGAAAGAAAAACCTATGTTCCAAAGCTCCCGTTTAAACCAGCTACTAAATTGTTAGTTGATTCTGGTTGCAAGTTATTAAAACATTCTATCTTGAAGATTCTGAGAGGTTCCACTTTACGCTACATATGCCTCCCAATCTCCATGAAGTCTCCTCCCTAGACTTGAAAACTTTTGAAATACTGATCCGACTAACATTTTTAATGCAATTTTGGTCCCGGCTTTACCTCTGGATTTAAAATAAAGGAATCTTTGAGTAAAATCTAAAGTAAAGGTATTTTCATTTTTAAAATTCACTTGTTAGCAAATTTGTCTTCGCTTTCATTTGGTAGCTGTCGCTGTCAGCTGTTGTCGCTGGCCAAAGTTCAAAGACCCATTCACAAGACAAGCGACAGCTGATGCTGATGCTGCTGCTCCTGTGGGCAGGACCCACCATTAGCACTTTTATGGCCCTGAAATCGAACGCCTCGAATGTGTATAAACAAAATATAGAAAATGAAAAGGAACGCGCCAAGTCATCATAAAATGCCAATGTAATGAAATAAATTGAACACAACATTTGTGCTGCGGCCCCTGTCACAACATTCAATGCGTAGCTGGCGAACAATCAAAAGGGGCACAAATATTTTCAATAATAAATCTATTTGATGGGCTGCTGCTTGAGGCACACTCGCATTTATCAGGGCGCATCCCAAAATTTTATGTGCCGCCAGGCCAGCAAGCGCCGCTGGGATATGGGCCAAAGGATGCGTTGACAGCGGGCGCAGTCGTTAAAAAATCACAAAATGACCCAAACGCAGATGATTAATTGTTCAGGCACGAATGGGACTCTCGTACTGGATAATACTCTGAAGCTGAAGCAGAAGTGGAGATGGAGCAGGCGGAGGCGGAGGAGCCGCTCAGTCAGCTGTCGGCCGAAAACACTTGTCACTTGCCCGCGACCATAACTTGAATATTTTATGCATCTCTTTGCTTCTCAGCGCTGGGCTTGTAATTAATTTCTGTGCATCTGTTGCACTTGGTCGAGAAACGTTGACACCCTCGCCCCAACTTGCAGTCGCATTGTGCCATCGGCCATCTGTCCAGCTGTTGTGCTCGCGTTGGTCAACTAATTTTCCAATTTGTGGTGCGTGTCAGTTGATATAAATATCGCATTTAATTGAACTCTGCTGTCTCGTATGTGTCGAACGCTTGACCTAGCCCATAAAACTGTCGAACTCTTGACCTTAACTGCAAACCTGTGCGACCTTCATTTATTCCAATCTAAATGGTCTGAAACCAAATAAGTGAAGCATGGAACTCGTTCAAAATGTCAGTTACAGGGCTTTTGAGAAGAACAGAAAATCTATCAATATAATATTCCAAAATTGGAATCAATAACTTGAAATTAAAAGACAATCCTTTCGGCAGTTCAATGTGAAGAATTGCGACAACTGAGATCTATTTCTTTTCAATGCCTTAAGAAACTCGGCAACAGCAACATTTTGAATGGAATAACCTAAATCCGAGACATGCTTTTGTCAAGGAATAAATATCTCAAGATTCATCTCAATAACTTAACAATACGAAATCCCAATTCTCAAAACTTCTATATTTGGACAGATCTCTTTAGAAATATATATTCAATAATCTTTATCTAAGGCAACTTGTTCAATATTACAATGTTGTATTTTCCTTTGAATATTTGAAGAAACTTGGAAGCAGTAATCTCTAAAGATCCTTAGATCCAGTAAAACATTGCAAAGGGTATCTTAAGCATAAATATTTTGAAGTTTAGATCAAGATAAATTAAAATATAGATGAGTACAAAACTTAAGAAATGTGAAATATTTCAGTTATATTCCAAACATATAAAAAAACAAACAAAGCAAAGATCTTGCGCCTTGTTAAAAGCATTCCATGAAGACATATGTTCTTCTCTCTTTACCCACGCCAAGTCAAATCTGAGCATCTGTTAATAAATCAACACTCGAAAGTCTGGCGGCGGGAGGGAAGAGAAACCCCTTGTAATTGCTTAATTAAATTGCCACTAAAGTTATAATTTCGGGCAGCAACAGGCCTAATGCGAGGACTTGAGCCATCCTTTTGTGCGCATCTGCTGCCGGGCTGCACACTAAATCAGATTTGCTGACAGGGCCTGACTAATTTTAACCCGGCCACAATTCCGGCTGCACTTGAGACGAACCGAGCCGAGCCGAGCCGAGCTGAGCCCTTTTGTGCAGCTTGCGAGTGCAGCGTATCCTTTCAAGTGGATGCTGCGCGTGCGCTGTGCGCTTCCCAAGTGGACGCGTGCTAATGGGGAGCAAAGGTGCAGCTCAAGGATCAATGGGAATCAGCGCAACGCGACGCAAGGAGCTGCGTGTTAATTTATGCGTCGCATGCGTGTCCTGCGCAGGCTCAGCTGCAGCGACACTCTCTCCCCGCTCTCCCACCCTTGCACCGAGTCAAAGGACACGACATATGCACACGGCGACATGCCAACACATGACTTTGTTGACACACACACACACACACAGAGACACACAGAGAGAGAAAGGTTGCCAGGTCTGCATCTAAGTGGTATTTATTGGTTTGGCAAGCGGCGACGGCTGCCGCATGCATCCTGCGCGCAAGGATTGAATTACGCGCTGGCGACACATTTGTAAACAGGCGAGTGATTTAGTTGCAGGACTACCGGCGCAGGAGCCGAGCACACGGCGCGCCTTATTTGCACGGGCATTAGGCACACACACACACGCACACAGAAGAATAACAATAACAATAACAATAACAACTTGTGCCGGCTTGTCCTTGGCCAGATCCTTGCCACACACTGTGTGTTTGCTGTCACTCAGGACGGGACACGGGCGCAGATCACGGGCCAGATTGACAATCTACAAATTTGTGCATTTGTCAATGAAAAAAACAAAAGTCGCCGCTTGTCAAAGGACAACACACCGCGACGTCAGCAGCGACAGCAAAAAGGGAAATGTTGCCCGTTTGATGGATGTGCGATTGATGTTTTTACACTCAGACAACGCGCCTCAAACATGCCAAAACATGTGCATGCATGTGTGCGTGTGTGTGTGTGTGTGTGTGTGTGTATTGGTATTCAAAATGATTAATAACTAGCATGAGTAAATTGTAATTACTGCAATTAAATTCTAAATGAGTTTAAACGTAAACAAATGAGACTTACAGCGCGGCCAATTGGTATTTTTCGAGATGAAGAATGTGGTCACACTGTGCCCGAAAAAGCTGATGCAATTTACAAGTTTTTCTTATCAGTTTTTCTTAGCGCTTAACAAATGAAATGAGACACTTGCCGAATTGAAGCGTAACCAATTGGTATTATTTGATATGCAGACTGCGGTCACACTATGCGCGAAAAAGCTGATGCAATTTTTAATTCTTTCTAATTATGCTTCTTATTGCGTTGCACTGCCATGTTTAACCGTACATCATGTTTACATTGCAATAACGAATGTTTTAACACTTCACTTATGTACATGAAATTAATTAATGTCGTACTATAAACAATTTAACTTGCGAAACGTGCACCACACAGACCGCCCGCCGCGCAAACATCACGAAGAAGAAGAAGAAGAAGAGGCAGAGATACATGTGCTGACTGACAAATACAACAACAACAGCGAAATTACACAATTGAAGCACAGCGCCAACAGATTAAACGGATTCAATGCACACACACACACACAAACACACGCACGCACGCACACAAACATACGTATTTGTGCGAATTACGCCGCGACAAGCCGACAATTGTTGAACACGAGCAAATATTTGATGAGTATTAATATTGTATGTGATTAATCACAGCCAAGGTAGCAAATTGCGTGGAAACTGGTGTTATTGCGAAGTTGATTTTTGTTAAAGCGTGTGCTAGGTCGGACAATTGTAGAGCACTGCCTGCTGTATATTATAAATACGCATCGCCATTTTGAATACTGCAAAGCTGTGCTTTGCACATATGTTCCAATTGGACATGCACAAAAAAAAACAGTTGGCAACGCCAGCTCGCAGCTGTATGTATGATCGCACGCGACTTGCACGCGTTTTTAAACGCACACTAGTTACCGACTACAATTGCACATTTTTGCCAAAAAAAAACAAGAGAAGAGCTATAAATTTCTGTTAATAACAGTTGCCAACCGGCTCCCCTAACTGGATGCCCGCCGGCTAGGGCCCATAAATATGGCCAAATGGGTTGACAGTTGGCAGAGACCAAAAAAAATACAAATAAAATAAAACAGGAGCAGGGAGCAGGAAGGGTTTCTTCCTCTGGCCACACACACACACACAAACACACACATGGAAAGTGAAAACGAAATAGTTGTGGCCAGAAATTTGATATGAATCAAGTGCCACGTGTCGCCCTTGCGAAATTTCGGGCCTAACACGGGGAACGGGTGCGCTGGCTGCCCCTCGCCAGGACGACAGATGCGCACGCGTGTGTGTGTGTGTGTGTGTGTGTGTCGGACATGTGCCCAAAAAACTGTTCTGTTACACTTTCGTTTAAACTCGGCCAAAAAAGACACAAGAAAAACCCATCTAGAAACTAATCGACGAAGCGAGGCGCGTTTATCGCACGCAGACATCGGTCGGGGCGCGGTTGGAGGCGTGCGTCGGAGGCGGCAACGCATCTCGTTAAACCGCAACCGTCGCTGCTGATTCGGATCGCATCAGCACATCTGTGCCGCTGGCTCCCCGGCTGCCTGTTCCCGTTGTTTCCCGTTGTAGCCGCCGGACGCGAGAGCGTGAAATGCGTGAATTGTGTGGCGAGGACTCCTCTTGCTTAGCGGTGTTTTGGCCCGTTACGCGAAATTGATGGCGGGGGGGCAGCACCTCTACCTGCCAGAGATCGTCAGATCTCTAGATGGGCCAATTTCAAGATTCCAGATGTTGTGCGACTGCGCCTGCGCCTCTGCCGTGTGCTTGATGGCGCAGGCTAACAACACAAGCTGGCAGCGTAAACAGTGTGACCAGGCAAACGGTTAGTATTAAATATATGTGGCTATCTTTTGGCAACTCGAAGCCTTTGTTAACATTGGATTAGCTAGTTTTTTTTTCTGGCAGCAGTTGGCAACACTGGCTCACAGCTGTTCACGAAATCTGAACTGTAAACGCTGCATCCACATTGTGGAGACGCGCGCGGCCGTTCGTTTTATGATCTGGTTTTAATGACGTCAGCCTCGCGCGCCGCTGGACACTTGAATGTCTTCGTAATGCGACACCACAGCCGGACACTTGGCATGTGCCAAGGAAATGGACATGGAACACGGTTACCTAAAACCAAAAACAGAAGTGCCTGCGAGTCCACTTGAATTACATGCCCAAAATATGTATTTGGCGCACGCACACACACACACACACAAACACCTTGAGGCTGACCCAACGCTCGAGCGGGTGTCAAAGGCCGTGTTAGCTCGTGTGCAGCCTTTGACAGGCCCTGAGCCAGGTCCCTGCCCGCCGAGCAGCGAGTCAATTTGTCGAAATTGAAAATTGTTGAGCTCAATGCATGGAAATTCGATACATTGGCAGCTGCCAGTCGCGGCTCTGCGCCCTGTTCTCTGCCTCTTTGATTGAATGCACCCGGGCCACCCTGTAAATGCAGCCAGCAGCTAACGACACACACACCGACACACACACACACACACGCGCGTGCATTATGCAACTATTGAATAGAAAAAGGATCATTGGAATATGGACAGTAAAAAGCTTCAAAACTGCAAATGGCAATGGCCACATACAAAGCAAGGAAATTGAATCCTGCAACGAGTGCGGCCCCAGAGCGCATTCAGGTCGAATCCCCGTCGTCAGAATTGGCATCATATGCCCCAGATTGCATTATGCCATCAAAAATATTCAGACAAATATTCGCTGACTGCAGGCATTCTCGAAATTGAATACAATGTTTACCAAAGAAATTGTGCAATACGCAATGGATACAATTGAAAATGGGTAAAAAATTGCATGTATCTAGAAGGTTATAAAGAAATATCAGAGATATACATATCTCTTATATATAGGACAGGTTCAAAGAAATTGCAAATAATTCAAATTGTGATTTCTAGGAAAAATTTCAATAAATAACTATGTAAAATAGGGAATTTAGGGAAATGTAAATAAATATGAAATTAATTTTGAAAAAATTGTCAAATAAAATATGATGTAAAAAATATAATATGTATACATATAAGAATATATAATAAAATAGAAATTAGTTAGTAATAATATAAACAGAGAAATTAAGGCAAATTATTAATGAAATTAGAAGAAAAAAGTTGAAGATTAAACTTTGATATTGCAGTAGAGTCTAGAATTGTTCTAGATATAAGAAAAATATGATAAGGAAGGAATATCAAAGATATTTGTTAAGAAACAGATGAAATGCGAGACATTTTCATGTTTTTGTTAAACTAAATTTTCAATTTTCAGCAAAGAAAACTGAATCGAAAGAACAGGAAATTGTTAAATATTATTAAAAAATATGCATTGTATAAGAAGCAGAGTTTTCAATTGTTATTTCAAGTAAATTTGATTTGTTTTTCATTAGCCGGAATAAACGGATTGTGTTAGTTGTTATTAGCCCACATAGTTAGATTTCTGATACTTACTCCACCGCATAGCTGGGCAGATTGGAGAGATCATCACCTGTTAAAGATTCGTTATTAAAAAACATCACCAAATAACATTTTCCGTTTGAACTCACGGCGACAGCTCTGGACGAGAGCTATTTCCAGGGCGTTGCGATAGGCCACGAGAGGCTGCCACTCGTCGGCTCGGCTGGTGGGCAAGGCCACCTGATCGATGAACTGCACAAACTTGAGCACATCCAGCATATCCTGGGCGAGCAGTTGCGGCACAAACTGCTGCAGCACACTCAGATAGAGTAGATTTTCGGGCGGACTGGTCGGATCATCGGGCATAATCTCCGCGGCATATCGAATGCCGGCGCGATGCAGTATGACCACGCCGGAGCGTACTTCCAGCTGCTTGGCATTGAACAGCTCTGCCAGCAAATTGGCCAGCTTGAGTAGATCCGCGAAATCCGTGGAGGCGGCCGCCTCAACTGCATTTGGATAAGCGACTCGTACGCGTTTGTAGACCAGCAAGCAGGTGTGCATCACGGTCATGCCGCAGTTGACGGGATTCACAGACAAACAGCGCTCCAGAGTGGCACGCAGAATGTCACCAAAGACCGGATTGCACTGGAACAAGGGAGACGAGTTGATGAAGGATCGCAGTCGAACTAGGTTCGCAGTAGAGCTCTGCATCGGTTAATTGTAATCGAATACTCGAAAAGCGGGATAATTTGTCGAATAAATGATTCATCAACCGCGCAGATATTCATTTAAACGAGGTTTGATCAGCTCGAGCATGCAACATGTTCAAGCTCGAACACAATTGAAATTGTCGAGTGAGGAGCTAATTCGAGCAGCACAAGCTTTTTCGGCTTTGAGTCTTGATTCGTTCGATTGAAAGAATTGTTCGAGTATTCGAAAAGCCTTTGGGTTGACTGGATGCAGAGCTCTATTTCTCGCTCCACTTACACGCTCGTAATACTGCAGCACAATGCAAGAGCGCATCACGGGCATCACGTTGTGGAACACCAGCTTACAGTAGCTGGCCAGGATGCGCCGTTTGCTCTGGAGCAGTGAAAACATCTCTGGTGCAAGCAGCGCGGCGGCATCTTCATCGAATGCAAAGCGCAGTACAAAGCTCTCGATCAACTCGTACTCGCTTATTTTGGATTTGTATTCCAAGGCGCGAATCGAGTCGCAGCTGTTCTGGCGCAGCGGATCGGCGAAGAGCACAAAGATGTCACAGGTAAAGCTGAAGGCCTGAAAGGCGCAGAAGGAGCTAATCTAAAGGTTTTACAGCTGGGAAGAGTAACTGCCGTAAACTTACATCGCAGCCCACTTGGATCATGGACGTGTGCTCGATCAGGTTGAAGTTCACGGAGAGAAAGCACTCCATGCGACGACGCAAAGCGCGGCACTCCTCAGCCACATCCCGGCCAGCTTTGGCTGCATCCTTGTTGCGCTTGAGATCCCAGGAGAGCGAGACGTAGACAATCGTTAAATACAGCGAAACCGACTCATCCGGCAGTCGGGAGTCCCGCTCCTCCAGAGCATTCTCCAGCGTGGCCAAGACCTTGTCGCTCAGCTGCCAATCGTTGAGATCGAAGCGTGCATAGAGCGTGGCGAGCAGACGCAGCGTATCCATTAGACGTTTGGCATTGTCCTCCACGGACAGCCTCGAGGTGCCCGCCAGCGATTGCTCCCAGGCGGCAGTGGCAATCATGTAGTTGGTCACTGCATTGTTGAGCAGCTCCTTGCGATGATTCTGGCAGCTGGCATTCAGGCCGTACAGATGCTCCAGCGTCATGGCGCCCATTTGGAGCACGGAGAGCGCCTCCGGCTCGAACATAATGTCCTTGATCTGTTCGAGCAGCTCCTGGAACTGCGTCTTCTGCATGATCATGAACTGCGCCAGCTCCAGCAGATTGCTCAGATCCCGCTCAGAGCTGCGATACTGCCGCAACAGGGCGGGCAGCTTGGAAAACAGAGCACGCGTGGCCAGCTTCTTGGCGTTCGGCTGGGCTTGACGCACCAGATCCTCGGTGTAACGGCCCGGCGGTATCTCGCCCGTGACAGCCTGCTTGACGGCCCGCGTCAAGATCTCAATAAGCGCCGAGGTTTCCGGCTCGCTCAGCGATTCGGGCTGCAGCAGCATGGAGACCATGCTGGACCAGGCCAACACGATGTCGTTGCGCCCGTAGAAGGCGTCCACCAGGTAGGCGGCATGCTCGTGCTCACCGAAGCGTACGAAGAACTGCACCAGGATCAGAATGCGCTCCTGCTCCGTGCTCGCCGTCTCCTGATAACGGTAGGGCACCAGGTCGGCGGCGGCCTGGGCCACGCCACGATGCGCGGCAAAGACGAGCTGCTCGATGACCTGCAGCGTGGACTCGTCGAGGAGCAACGGATTCGCTCTGTAGAACAGCCCCAGCAGCTGTATGGCCATCTGGCCCAGTTCGCTCTCGGCGCTCATGGTCAGGCCCAGCAGGGTCATGCGGTACTTGGCGCCCTGCTCCAGGCAAACGGGTCGCAGCTTCGGATTATGCCACAGCTTGGACAGCGCCTGGAAGCAGCACTCGATCACCTTGCGCGAATTGTCCTGCAGCGGCTGGAACAGATGCTTCACATGATCCGGATTCAGATAGCACTGCGGATACTTCTCCAGCCAAATGCCGCACTCGACCAGGCACAGATAGCGTATCTCATCGACGACATCGTCGGAGCGCTCCAAGAAGACGCTGGCAAACAATTGCAGCCAGATCTCCTTGACCTGCTCGCTCTCCAGCAACACCGTGGCACACAGCGTGGTCATCATCTTGAGTCCTGCAAGTGGACCAAATGCTTTTCAGGTGGGCTTGTGGCTTGTGGCTAGCGCTTACCAATTAGGGTGCAGGTGTGCCTGAAGGCGCGCACCTTCGAGTCGGCGCAGACCATGACAAAGCCGGCCAGATTCTTCAGCAGGACATCGTCCAGGATGAGCGAAGTTGTGTGCAGCAGACGCATTAGATACTGCACAAAGTAGCACACGTTCCGGGCGAAGGAGTTGCCCGATTTCATAATCAACGGATACGACAAGCTCTTCTGCAAATCTTATCTAAAGTGAGGTTATGTCTGAGCAATAAAAAAAGGACTCACATTGCCAAAGTGTGCCGTGGCCGCAATCAGAATGTCGCTGAAGTCAAAGGGTATCTCCAGTCTATCAGGTATTTGATACTGACTGCCGCTGGCCTCCAGCACGAACTGCATGAACTTCAACAGCGCAGCTTCCGGCGAATACGTATATAACCTGATCCAGGCCTGGCAGATGTCCTGGAATAGTTCAAAGTAAATATGGCATAAAATGAATTTATCAAATAGAAGGTTGCCGGTTCGAATGCCAGACTCGAGTAGGGATGTCAGACGACTGTCTGATCCAGATGATAAAGTGAGGTTAGATTGTTGGAATTTGCTCTCCACGCTCACCTTGGTCTTCTGCTTTCTATCGCACACGAGCTCCAACAGGCTGCTGCACGTTTCCTGGGCATATTCCTGCATTATTTCCAGCGTTTCTTCATTTTCCTTATTGCTGCCTTCATCGTTGCTGTCGTGGAAATACATCACATTCTCAACTTTGGCCAACTTGCAATAAGAAAAACGTTTACCTCGATTGAAATTCTATGCTCTCAGCCTCGGCGTCTGGCAGCGAGGACTGAACTTCGACCTCGGTCGAAATGCTGCTCATTTTGAAATATTTTTTCAATCAAAAAAGTTACGTTTCGCAGCGAAAATTTGTGCGCATGTACAGCACGTGCAAAAGCTGTTGAAAGAATAGACGGCGTTGCCACCCCGCTTCAAAAAGTGATTACGCTTTAACAGCGTAACGGCAAAGTTCAAAATGTGAACCAGTAGGGATGCAGTAAGCAGCTTTTTGTACATCAGTACCGTCAGCTAGTTCATGTGCTTAAAATTTCAATAAGGTATTGCTGTAATTACGAAAAATAATAAGAAAAACTCCCAGATTCATTTAGGGGTAATTGCCACTTTTCGAAATATAAAAAAAAATTTCAAAGTTCTTGAGGAGAATACGTGCCATCCTCTAATACCCTATATAGACATAGGTCCAACTTCCTCACCCCATAAACCGGCCAAATCTCATTCGATTTCCCCGAGGTTTGGTTTTTTATGCTCAGTTTTCCCTCTTAAATAATCTGGCATTCAAATCTGACTACGTAAATTTTAGTCGAAATTCATGTCAAAATCTTACCCCTTAGTTTCGTATATAGACATGGGTCAAAACTTCCCAACCCCATAACTCGGTCAAATCTCATTCGATTTCCCCGAGGTTTGGTTTTTTATGCTCAGTTTTCCCTCTTAAATAATCTGGCATTCAAATCCGACTACGTAAATTTTAGTCGAAATTCATGTCAAAATCTTACCCCTTAGTTTCGTATATAGACATGGGTCAAAATTTCCCAACCCCATAACTCAGTCAAATCTCATCCGATTTCCCCGAGGTTTGGTTTGTTATGCTCAGTTTTCCCTCTTAAATAATCTGGCATTCAAATCTGACTACGTAAATTTTAGTCGAAATTCATGTCAAAATCTTACCCCTTAGTTTCGTATATAGACATGGGTCAAAACTTCCCAACCCCATAACTCGGTCAAATCTCATTCGATTTCCCCGAGGTTTGGTTTGTTATGCTCAGTTTTCCCTCTTAAATAATCGTGCATTTAAATCTGACTACGTAAATTTTAGTCGAAATTCATGTCAAAATCTTACCCCTTAGTTTCGTATATAGACATGGGTCAAAACTTCCCAACCCCATAACTCGGTCAAATCTCATTCGATCTCCCCGAGGTTTGGTTTTTTGTGCTCAGTTTTCCCTCTTAAATAATCTGGCATTCAAATCTGACTACGTAAATTTTAGTCGAAATTCATGTCAAAATCTTACCCCTTAGTTTCGTATATAGACATGGGTCAAAATTTCCCAACCCCATAACTCAGTCAAATCTCATCCGATTTCCCCGAGGTTTGGTTTTTTATGCTCAGTTTTCCCTCTCATATAATCTGGCATTCAAATCTGACTACGTAAATTTTAGTCGAAATTCAAGTCAAAATCTTACCCCTTAGTTTCGTATATAGACATGGGTCAAAACTTCCCAACCCCATAACTCAGTCAAATCTCATCCGATTTCCCCGAGGTTTGGTTTTTTATGCTCAGTTTTCCCTCTTAAATAATCTGGCATTCAAATCTGACTACGTAAATTTTAGTCGAAATTCATGTCAAAATCTTACCCCTTAGTTTCGTATATAGACATGGGTCAAAACTTCCCAACCCCATAACTCGGTCAAATCTCATTCGATTTCCTCGAGGTTTGGTTTTTTATGCTCAGTTTTCCCTCTTAAATAATCTGGCATTCAAATCTGACTACGTAAATTTTAGTCGAAATTCAAGTCAAAATCTTACCTCTTAGTTTCGTATATAGACATGGGTCAAAATTTCCCAACCCCATAACTCAGTCAAATCTCATCCGATTTCCCCGAGGATTGGTTTTTTATGCTCAGTTTTCCCTCTTAAATAATCTGGCATTCAAATCCGACTACGTAAATTTTAGTCGAAATTCATGTCAAAATCTTACCCCTTAGTTTCGTATATAGACATGGGTCAAAACTTCCCAACCCCATAACTCGGTCAAATCTCATTCGATTTCCCCGATGTTTCGTTTTTTATGCTCAGTTTTCCCTCTTAAATAATCTGGCATTCAAATCTGACTACGTAAATTTTAGTCGAAATTCATGTCAAAATCTTACCCCTTAGTTTCGTATATAGACATGGGTCAAAATTTCCCAACCCCATAACTCAGTCAAATCTCATCCGATTTCCCCGAGGTTTGGTTTGTTATGCTCAGTTTTCCCTCTTAAATAATCGTGCATTTAAATCTGACTACGTAAATTTTAGTCGAAATTCATGTCAAAATCTTACCCCTTAGTTTCGTATATAGACATGGGTCAAAATTTCCCAACCCCATAACTCAGTCAAATCTCATCCGATTTCCCCGAGGTTTGTTTTTTTATGCTCAGTTTTCCCTCTTAAATAATCTGGCATTCAAATCTGACTACGTAAATTTTAGTCGAAATTCAAGTCAAAATCTTACCCCTTAGTTTCGTATATAGACATGGGTCAAAATTTCCCAACCCCATAACTCAGTCAAATCTCATCCGATTTCCCCGAGGATTGGTTTTTTATGCTCAGTTTTCCCTCTTAAATAATCTGGCATTCAAATCCGACTACGTAAATTTTAGTCGAAATTCATGTCAAAATCTTACCCCTTAGTTTCGTATATAGACATGGGTCAAAACTTCCCAACCCTATAACTCGGTCAAATCTCATTCGATTTCCCCGAGGTTTGGTTTGTTATGCTCAGTTTTCCCTCTTAAATAATCGTGCATTTAAATCTGACTACGTAAATTTTAGTCGAAATTCATGTCAAAATCTTACCCCTTAGTTTCGTATATAGACATGGGTCAAAACTTCCCAACCCCATAACTCGGTCAAATCTCATTCGATTTCCCCGAGGTTTGGTTTTTTATGCTCAGTTTTCCCTCTTAAATAATCTGGCATTCAAATCTGACTACGTAAATTTTAGTCGAAATTCATGTCAAAATCTTACCCCTTAGTTTCGTATATAGACATGGGTCAAAATTTCCCAACCCCATAACTCAGTCAAATCTCATCCGATTTCCCCGAGGATTGGTTTTTTATGCTCAGTTTTCCCTCTTAAATAATCTGGCATTCAAATCCGACTACGTAAATTTTAGTCGAAATTCATGTCAAAATCTAACCCCTTAGTTTCGTATATAGACATGGGTCAAAACTTCCCAACCCCATAACTCGGTCAAATCTCATTCGATTTCCCCGAGGTTTGGTTTGTTATGCTCAGTTTTCCCTCTTAAATAATCGTGCATTTAAATCTGACTACGTAAATTTTAGTCGAAATTCATGTCAAAATCTTACCCCTTAGTTTCGTATATAGACATGGGTCAAAATTTCCCAACCCCATAACTCGGTCAAATCTCATTCGATTTCCCCGAGGTTTGGTTTTTTATGCTCAGTTTTCCCTCTTAAATAATCGTGCATTTAAATCTGACTACGTAAATTTTAGTCGAAATTCATGTCAAAATCTTACCCCTTAGTTTCGTATATAGACATGGGTCAAAACTTCGCAACCCCATAACTCGGTCAAATCTCATTCGATTTCCCCGAGGTTTGGTTTTTTATGCTCAGTTTTCCCTCTTAAATAATCTGGCATTCAAATCTGACTACGTAAATTTTAGTCGAAATTCATGTCAAAATCTTACCCCTTAGTTTCGTATATAGACATGGGTCAAAATTTCCCAACCCCATAACTCAGTCAAATCTCATCCGATTTCCCCGAGGTTTGGTTTTTTATGCTCAGTTTTCCCTCTTAAATAATCTGGCATTCAAATCTGACTACGTAAATTTTAGTCGAAATTCATGTCAAAATCTTACCCCTTAGTTTCGTATATAGACATGGGTCAAAATTTCCCAACCCCATAGCTCAGTCAAATCTCATCCGATTTCCCCGAGGTTTGGTTTTTCATGCTCAGTTTTCCCTCTTAAATAATCTGGCATTCAAATCTGACTACGTAAATTTTAGTCGAAATTCATGTCAAAATCTTACCCCTTAGTTTCGTATATAGACATGGGTCAAAACTTCCCAACCCCATAACTCCGTCAAATCTCATCCGATTTCCCCGAGGTTTGGCTTTTTAGGCTCAGTTTTCTCTCTTAAATTATCTGGCATTAAAATCTGACTACGTAAATTTTAGTCGAAATTCATGTCAAAATCTTACCCCTAGTTTCGTATATAGACATTTCTCAATATTTCCCAACCCCATAACTCAGTCAAATCTCATCCGATTTTCACGAGGTTCCGCTTTTTGTCCCATATAACAATAACTTCATTCGATTTTGTCTATAACATCGCTACTTCTATAATAACAATAAATATCGACATTGTTTCTTAACTCGGGAATTATAAGAGCCATATGGACCAAGCATGGTATGCTGGTTCTCGTATATCATACACAGATTGAAAATATTTTGTTTTATGAATATCTTCCGCCAAACATCAGATCACTGGGAACCCTATGACATTCCATTTATTATTGCTCAATTATTGGGCACTCGTTCCCATAAATCTTGTTTTAATAGTTCGAACTGTTAAATCAATAGTTACGATTTCTAGCCTGATCGCGTTTTTCCCACCGCCATGTCAAACCGTGTGGCAAACAAGCTGCCATGGACGCGGTATTCCTGTGATAATTCAATCCAAACGGGCCAATTACGTGGCCAGGTCGGAATCCGTTGTGTGTGTATGGGTCAGGTAGGTAGCGAAACAACAAACAATTAGCCCGCCAGTTCCTCCGCAATGATACACAAACAGAGAGCGCAAATTGGGCAGCCACTTGTCGGTCAGATCTGAGATCTGAGGCAAATGCCGCCGTCGCCGTTGCCGCCGCCGTTGAGGTCGCGGCTAACAAGGACCAAATAATCGGCCTCTGCTCCCAAAGCCAAACACAAATATTGACGTTGCTTATCGCACGCGATCGCCGGAACCACAAACCACGCAGATCAGAGCCACCGCTGACCACTTGCGATGACTTGGCAACATTTTTGGCAGAACCCACAACGTCGAATTATTTCAATCTGCGCTGATGACGCGGCTCATTCCGCGCGCACACTGATAAAAAGCTGGCGATAACATAGTTT